TCAAATCATTTTCCATCCTCTCCAAACTTTCATCCTGAACTATAGGCCACAATGATTCGCTTTGGCAATGGCTCTTAATTAGAAACTAAATGAAAGAGCTTCATATTACCCCCTGCATCTGGTAGATTTAGTTTTACTTTACTTTTTAAGGCAAACTATCATTGTGAGGAAAAGTTACTGCTGATAAACTTTAAAGAGTTTGAACACACAAGGCCCACATCATAAAATTTTGTCAGCTTCTAAACTATTAAATCATCCCGAGTAAAGCATAGACTGGATACAAGTAAAAAGGGGAACCCTTCAGCTATTTCAATTTAATGTCGATGCAGTGCTTCACAAAACAGTTTGTCTATTTCAATGCAGTTCAATTCACAAACACTGTATTGATCGCAAAAGGAAATCAAATGTGTTTATAAAGAAAAAGTCTTTTGAAACTGTTTGCAGTTAACAATTTGAAGTTAAGACGTTCATGTATATTTTCATAACCTGTCTTCATAAAAATAACAAATTACAGGTGAAAGGTACTGGCCATAAAAGCTTTGACAAATCAGTGACTGGGTTGCGAACATTTTAAATCACCTAAACATCTCTCTTTAGTGTTTTCTAATCAGTGCACAAACTGCTGTATACAGTTTTGGTTAATGAACTGACAGGTCAGCTACAACCGCAAACATGAATGAAAAGAATTGGAACATTTCAGAAAAGTTACAAGTACCCTAAACTAGACTACACCTTTCTTTAGCAGCAGCTTGTTTTCTATGTGGATGGCTTGGTATTCTTCCCTCAGCTCACAAAACAATGCATTCTCAAAAGTATGAAAATGTGGTCAAATCATGGCTGCAGTTTGTAGAACAGAAGCAGATGAATGACTAACCCCAAAGCTACATTTATCCATTGGGATTACCATATTTGGGTCCACCATAAAAGATGCATCTGCAGTTAAAGAGGGCTGCAGTATGAAAAAAATCCAACCCTACAGCTGATGATACCTGCAAGGTTTACTTTAGCTGATAGAGAATGGGAGATGATAACCAAACATCAGTGGTTTAAGAAGGTTTTGTGCTTGATGAGTCTTTTTTATGGTATAAAAAAAAACATGTGTCTCTTGTCCCAAAAAAAAAAAATAATAATAATAATAATATATATATATATATATAT